AGAGAGAGAGAGAGAGAGAGAGAGAGAGAGAAAGAGAGAGAGAGAAGGAGAGAGAGAAAAAAAAGAGAGAGAGAGAGAGAGAAAGGGGGGACGGGGGGCGATTTTACCACTACTATTAACCAAACAATGAATTGTCTAACGTTAAAATAACAAGCGATTGTATCACTGTTGTTCACCAAACAATGATTTGTCTAACATTGAAATAGCAAGAGGTTTTATCACTATAGTTCACACTAAACAATGGATTGTCTAACATTGGAAGACGAAGCAATTTACCCATATTTTTCACCAAACAAAGGGTTGTCTAATATTAGAAAAGCGAGCAGCTCCCTAGTAGGGAAAAGACTATCTTCTTTATTAGGTAATCGATAACAACTCAACATTCAACAGGCTCGAGACTGCTGTCATAATTATGCTTATCCTTTATAGAATAAAATTATCAGACTGATCAAAATTAATAGTGTATTTTTTTTATTTTGTAGCATTTTACTTTTAGTTTTAGTAAAAATATTACGACACTTGCAACACAATTGGGTCAAATTATAAGTGCCGAAGATTAAAGGTGTTACCTGAGAGTAATATACAGAGAAAAGAATGTGAGATAAGGACGCTAGATGTTTAATAAGAAAGAAGAGGCAAACAGCACCAGTGTACCCACACTCAGCAACCACCAACTGGCATGATTTTGTGAAAACTTTCTTAAACTCGATGACAACTTGGACACAGCCTCATTTACCGGAGGGGTGGAAGATTTTTGGAGCATACTTTGAGCAGAAATTTCGCGAGCGTCAGATCTCCGATATTTCGTTGTTTAGTTTTAGTTCTGTAAGAGTTTATCAGCTCTCGAAACTGCAAAGGTTATACGAAAGCGCTTTCATCGTTTAGTTTTTGTTTAGTAAGAGTTTAACAGCGCTCGCAACTGCATAAGGTCATATTATCTCGTTTGTTGTTAAGACTCATTGGCTTCTGCTGAAAAGATTTTCATTTCTATCCCCCTGTTTATTTTGTACCCCCCCCCCCTCCTCTCTTACCCTCTCTGTCTTTCTCTCTCTTAAAAAGGGGAGGGGGGCTACACCTGGAGGCTATCTCGCTTATTACTGGACCGAATTTTACCAAATTTCACACATATAACAAGCATAGTAAAGAGTCTTAAAATCTGCAATCAAATTTGAGAAAAAAGTTTCGTTTCCATGGATATGCCGCCATATTGGATTATTGACATGTCTTACGTAATGAATATCGCACTTATCGCTTTTGGAAATTGATTGTTTTTTTGCATGCGTGTTTACAAACATTAGATCTAAAAATTTGTCTGCTGTTTTTTTCCTAATCGAATTAGAAAATTTTTAATGACATTTTTCCTGAGGTAGCATTCAAGTTTGCGAAAAATCCGTGAAAATCCACACTCCAGACACCACCAACAAAAATCTATTCTATATATCAAAAATTTAACAGACAGGTTTTTAGTATTACCTCTTTTCTTTATTCTGTGAAAATTTCATGAAGATTGGATGAAAAATGGTGGAGTTATTAAAAAAAGTATAGAGAAAAGTCGTATTTTGAGAAAACGGCCGATAAAGAAAAATAAAATATTGACTTTATGAGGAAATGGCGGTTACAAAACATGCCCGGTATGGGAAAAAATACGGTTTTTGGGGGTTCTTATGCCATGAAATAGTTGTAGGAGAGGCTGAGGAAGCTAAAAATGCCTACAACTCAAATTCCATGATTTTTAACCGAATTTTGATTTTGGGGGTGTAGCCCCCCCCCCCCTCCCCCTTAAAGGATACGCTCTTGTTTTGACAAGTCTTGGAGACACCAGTTATAAAAAAACGTAATTTTTAACTTCAAGACATACATTTTTATACCCGCTAACGATAATTTCTGGATTTATAAGACGCCAGATCAATATTTCGAGTATAATATTCTTGTTCATAGGCGATACCATTTACAATTAGGGCCTACCTATAAGGAAAAATATCGGAATAAAGGCTTGCTTTTCCAGTGTCAGGAATGCTTCTTTTTCCAATGTTGAGTATTAAGCACAAGCACCATTCCAATGTTGGGTATTACACGAGCTCGCTATTCCAATGTTGTGTATTACTCAAGCCCGCTATTCCAATGTTGGGTATTACTCAAGCCCGCTATTCCAATGTTGGGTATTACACTACACGAGCTCGCTATTCCAATGTTGTGTATTACTCAAGCCCGCTATTCCAATGTTGGGTATTACTCAAGCCCGCTATTCCAATGTTGGGTATTATGCAAGCTCGCTATTCCAAAGTTGGATACTACACACTCTCTCTATTCCAGTGTTGAACTGAAACTGAAACACGAGTTCGCTATTACAAAGTACTGCCGGCCTTTAGTACTAGTTTGCCCACGCCTGATGTGACTCAAGAATGGCTCTACCTCACCTTCCCGTTATACGTGAAATGATCTCCTTTTGAAAGGCCATCAAAATCTGTAGGGTAACGCATCTCCACTTTCTGTGTCTGTTGGTTGATCTCTGACGTCACTCCATACCTGCTGGAATCCACGGCGGCCCGCTTATAGCAGAGATTGTCTGTGTTTAAACTTATTGTGTATGAAACGCCTTGTGGTGGTTAATTTTTGTTTTGATAGTGTTTGTTTGTGGGGTTTTTTTGGGTTTGTTTTTGTGTTGTTTGTTTGTTTGTTTGTTTGTTTGTTTGGGGGTGGGGTGGGGATGGGGTGGGGGTAGCAGAAAAAAGAACGTTTAACACAGACAGACACACATGCACATTCACGCACACACTCACACACACACACACACACACACACACACACACACACACACACATGCACACATACATATACATTGATTTATATATATATATTAAACACTTAATTTACAACGTCTCTGGCTTGCTGTACAAAGAAAAATTGAAACCAGTGGGTGACAGCATTTAGCTTTTGATTTCTCCAAAAGGCACTCAGTGTGCACGACTTTCCTTCACACGCTGACCTGCCATTAAACCCTCTCTCATGATGACTACACTTTACATTGTAGCTTCAGTCGGTTCAATGATGGGTTGATATCAAAATGACCCTTGTTACAATCCCTGAAGACGTTTTCTCGGAGGTGGAATGTATCGGGGAACTTTCAAGGCTCCTAGCTTACAGTTTCGTTTTAATATAATATATAGTGAGACTTTTTCGGCACTTGCCACACAATAAGGTCATATAATATGATAATGACATAAGTGCCGAAGATCAGAGGTGTTAAAAGAGAGTAACAAACACAAAAAAGAAGGAGGAAGGAGAAAGACGATAGATATTAGATAGGACAGAAGCAGCAAACCACACCAGAGCACCTGCCAGCCACTCATATCCTTACACACTAAGCTCTTTTCTTTCCGGAGATGGCGGTTAAATCCTTAAGTCCCACCTGCTACACAACTTTACTGTACTGAAAGGGGCGTAAAACTCATTTCAAGAGTGGAGATTTCCTTTGGAGGAGATTGATGCAGTACCCCTCGCAAATAGCAATGACACAATTGCCAGAGACATATTTTCCCATGACACATTCACCAATAACACAATGACTAATCACACAGATGCAATTGGAACTCTTACAAAAATAGGCCAATTATCACTAACACAATGGGTTACTAATGAGACAACTATCAATGGCAGAATGATTTACTAATGAAACAATTACCAATGACATAATGATTTACTCATGAAACAATTACCAATGACATAATGATTTACTCATGAAACGATTTACTAATTAAAAGTTGGTTGTATTTTGTTTTGTTTTGTTTTATTTTGGTAAGTGTTTTACGGCGCTTGCAACTGCATTGGGTCGTACGAGCGCGTAAATTAGAGTATTATCAGGGACACAATGGTTTACTAATGGGGCAATTATCAGTGACATAATGACCAGTGACACAATGATTTACTAATGAATTAAACAATTATCAATTACACAATGGTTTACCAATGAGACAATTATTCATGACATAATGGCCAACGCCTAATTGATTTTGTAATGACACGATTATCAATGACACACAGATTTACTAATGAGATCATTATATCGATGACACAAAGATTTACTAATGAGATCATTATATCGATGACACAAAGATTTACTAATGAGATCATTATATCGATGACACAAAGATTTACTAATGAGGCAATTATATTATCAACAAAGATTTACTAAGGAGGGGATTATGTCAACGACACAAAGATTTACTAAAGAGGCGATTATATCAATGACACAATGACCAATGGCTCTGTCCCCTATCACCCCCCCCCAAAAAAAAAGTTTTATAAAATGTAAAACATTAAAAGATCAAAACGAAAAGTGGTACAATGATGAATGATGCAGTGGCGAATGACACAGTGGCGAATGACAAAGTGGTGAATGACACAATGACGAATGACACAGTGACGAATGACACAGTGGCGAATGACACAATAACGAATGACACAATGACGAATGCCACTATGACGAATGACGCAATGACGAATGACACAACGACGAATGACACAATGTCGAATGACACAATGACGAATGACACAATGACGAATGACACAATGACGAATGACGCAATGACGAATGACACAATGACGAATGACGCAATGACGAATGACACAAAGGCCGGTAACACCAATGTCGAATGAGAACACACAAACAAACAAAAACAACAACCAAAAAAACAAAGGAACAATGGGACTTACCAGCTTTATAGTCAGTTACGATGTCTGTGTATTGGGTCGTGTAGCGCGCTATTTGCTTTTGCTTGTCGAACGACATCTGGTAGGGAGTTTTGAAGGTGTATTTGCGGCGGGTGTTGATTTGGTATTCCTCGACGAAGTAACGCATCACAGGAGGGAGGAGAGGGGGTTTTTTCACCTGCGCGGATGGCAATGCGCAGGTGAACCCTTCGGGTGGCTATCAAGTGGAAGGGAACGAATCATGGGGTAAAGAATGATAATAGATAATAAATAGATGAATAAATAGATGAATAAATAAATGAATTAATGAATTAATGAATAAATGAATAATCAATTAATTAATTAATTAGTTAATCAATTAATGAACTAGTTAATATCAACTGTGTCGTGGTGAAATCAGGCGCTCGTCAATTAATGAAGTGGAAGAGCGCGGCATTTTCCGGCAATCCAACAAGTTTCGTAGAATTTAAAAAAAATGTTAGACTCAACACCGTGTATGTCCATTTTAAAGCACTCTTCTGTGAGGATTTTACAGTAGAAATAAAAACTCATTGATTGCAGGCACAAAAATTTAAATTTTCTGTTTTCAAGGACTCTCAAGTTACAGAGGTCACCAAACTTTGGCAACTGTTTACTTGTTAACTCTACCTGTGAAACTAGGCGACCCCACCTCATTCAATTACAAACATCTCGACTTCTACACACGGTAGATGAGTGTTTCTTTCAGCAAAAGCAAGACAAATAAACACGCTTTAAATCAATACCAATAACTCAATATGCCAGAAAAATTGACGAGCGCCTGATTCCACGGCGTCGTGAGACAAATGGGGTAATGATTAATAATAAATGATAAATAAATATCATTTGTAGAGCGCAAAGTCCCGCTCAATATCAAACTCGATGCACTATAAATCTATATAATCACCCAAGAAGACCTGATAGCATTCCCAGCATCATGGGAAGTATACAGTGCAAGCTTCGATTTTATAGGAGGAAATAGTGGAGGAGTGAATGTGGGGAAAATAGGGAAAGATTCGAAATCAGTCAATCAGTAAATAAACAAATAATACATGGAGAATGAATTCCCCCCTCCCACCCCTCCCCCATCCTCCCTAAAAAATGGAAGAGAATTAGAGGGAGGATGAAGAATTACATAAGGTTGGTAAATAAATAAGAAACAAAATAACCACATAACTGAGTGAAGGGTACATAAACACTAGAATGGTTTGTCAAAACTACATAATGGACGTAAAATTAACGACTAATACGAAACGAAAACAACGACCCAATTAACTCTATAATGTGCTTTCAAAAATTTCGTTAAAAAAAGTTGGTGGGGTTCTTTTTAACGTCCCCACCGACACAATTTAGATAACCGAGGAGTCGGGTTTAGGACCCTGCCTGTCTGGGACAATGGGGGCAGAGAGTGATAGAACATGCCAATGGAAAGACCGAGATATTCGATAAGAATTTCTCCCCACTCGGAAATCGAATTCGGGTTTCCGGAGTGCGACACCAAAGTGACTAACTGCTTTCCAAAAGACGCCAGTCTACTATTATAGTTAGAGGTGGGCAAAATCCGGATAAGCTATAAGGATAACGATCCGAATATCCGAATTCAGGCTCTTAACTCTCATTCCTGACCCGTTTGCCGAAGTAGGGTGCACACTCATTTGCTGAATTTGTTCTAACCAACATGCTGAAGCGGTTCACGTCATATTATTTGCCGAAGAGGTGCACTAACATACTCTCCGGATTTTGTTAAAACGACTCATTGCCCAGCCCTAATTATAGTGCAGTAAAAAAATTCATGGTGTAACTTATCCTCAGATATCTCTTTAAACAAGAGAATCAATGTCACTCATACTTTGCACAGCAGTTTGTATCAATTTGTCTTAACTTAATCATATTTCCCCACAACAATTCCGGCTAGATTAAAATATTTTCTACATAAATTTATATAAAATACTATTAATCTCTGTCTAACGGAAAAGGGGATTGTTCACAGCACTTCCCGCTTCTCACACACATTTTGCATTTACCTATGGCCTACGTCACAGCTCACCAATGACACTTTGTAGAGGCAAAACTAGTTACAAGAACTTTATTTTATAGTAAACACTTTTTTTGCACTAAAGATTATCAAAACATGCGACTAGAAAAACATCTTCAGACTTATTTTTAAAAGTGATATTGCCCCAGCTGTAAACCTTTTAAACCTGCAGAAACTACCCACTTGGATTTTTATTACTATTTATTAAGGAATTTTTTAGAATACTGCTAACAGGTGTTTACCAAAAAATTGCTCTGTTAAGACAAATTTGATACATTTTGTCATTGCGCAAAGTTGGAAAGTCTATGTTCGATAGTTTATGAAAATAATATTTGACAATAAGTAACGCCACGAATTTTTGACCGCACTATAATGAATAAACTGTACATGTACAGACAGAGCGGGTGAATGGCGGGTGCTCTGGTGTTTTTTGTTCCTTCTTTTTAAAAAATCCTAGCATTTTTCCTGGCTTTGGGCTATTAAAAATGTTTTGTTGTTGTTGTTGTTGTTGTTGTTTTTCGTTGTTTTCTTTTTTTTGGGGGGGAAGGGGGCTGAAAACCTTTTAAGTCTATTTAAAAACATGTTTCTGTGTTGATGGCACAGAAAAACGTTGATTAAAGGCTCCCAAAAGTAAATTTCTAGTTTCTTAGGACACTCAAGCTTTGGAAGTCACCAAACTTTCTCAACCGCTTTCTCGATTATTTTACCTTTGACATATGGCGACCGCCATATTTTTCAATCTCAAATATCTCTACTTCTATTCAAGATACAGGGGTATTTTTTTCGCTAAATGCAAGACAAATGAACAAGCTTTAAGATTATATTGATAAATATATAGATAAAAAATTGACGAGCACCTGTTTCCACCGTGTCGTGACACAAAGTATATAACCACCATGTGCCGCGCCTGTGGTGGAGCAGTTAGCCGCTCAGTTGCCGCAAGAAGAGGACACAGGTTCGATTCCAGAGTGAAGAAAGTGAAGTAACTTTTTATCGAATGTCAAGGTATTTCTTCTGGGATGTTGTACCCCTATCAGCTTAGATTGGCCCTGACAGTCAGGCAGAGTGGAGGCATACCTCCTAGTTAAATCGTTTCGTGGGGACGTAACCCCCCCCCCCCACACACACACGCACAAACTCACTACACTAGAATTACAAAGTTCTATCAGTTCAGTGCCTTGTTTCAAACATCATCATCATCCAGTGCCTTGTTTCGAAAATCATCATCATCCAGTGCCAGATCTGCGACAAACATCGGCGATCATGGTTCTCAATTCATTCCTTTTCTCTGATGCTCTTAAAAAACTACTTTCCTCTGATCTTTCCCCGTTACCCATTTGTTTAGGTTCCCTAAGTAGGTTGCTCTGAGCCTACCCCTGCCTCTTGGCCTTCGATTTTGCCAGTGAGAGCTAGATGTTAAAGATCTTTATGTCTGTTCAGGTATCCCAAAAAACTGCATAACTTGTCGTTTCCTAATTGTTTTTAACAGTGAGCGTCCCACTGGAGCCTCATCAAGAACTACCTCATTTGATTTGTTTTCCTTCTACAATATTCTCAGCAGCCTCCTAAGAAACCACGTTTCTGATGCTTCTATTTCATTTTCACTGTCTTTAGAGATTGTCCAGCATTCACAGCCATATAGAAGGGTTGACCAAACATAGCATTTCAAAACTTTCATTTTGGTAGTCATTGAGATGTTTCTATTTTTCAGGATTCGGCTCATTTTTATTGAAACTAGTCCAAGCCATTGCAATTCTCTGTTTTATTTCTGTGGAACATTTTGCATCAGATGTTATTACGAGATTTACACTGTTGGACCTGTTTGATTTTTTCGCCTTTGCTAATGAGATTACAAGTAGGATTTGCTGCTTTTTTATATTACCATGCATTCTGTTTTCTTTACATTCAACATCAGTCCTTTACGTCACTTTCTGTTACAACAGTATCTAGAAGCGATTGAAGGTCCTTTTTGAGTCTGCTGTTAAAACTGTATCATCAGCATGTCTGATGTTATTAATATACCGTGTTGCAAAAGTTCTGTGACACCCACTTTAAAAGTTCAATAACTCATTAACTATTCAACATAGCCATGAGCAATTTGGTACACCTGACCATTATTCATTTTTTGCCTACATGACATGAAAAGAACTGACCAATATTATTCTCATTCAATTGCGATAATTTTATACACACTGACCCTGGAAAAATCCAAATCAAAGTTTGCTCAGTATTGTGTTTGGCCTCTTTCGGTTTATGATTTCTTTCGTCTGCTCATGCACGTGAAGTCTCATATGTCACACAAGTCATAATACTTCATTTTTGCGGAAGTTCTAGCGGTGTAGCGAAAACCATCGTTGTATAATGGAGGTGACAGAACTTTTGCAACTCGGTATATTTTTGCCTTTCATTTTCAGACATGGACATTCTTCTATGTTTGTAAGGATTGTTTCACTATACATGTGAAAGCGGTCTGGTGACATAACACACCCTTGCCTCACTCCTCTCCTAATCTGATTATATTCACTGTATTCTTCATTAATTCGGAAGCAGCCTTCTGGTCCCACTACAAATTCCTGATAATTCTTAGATCTTTTTCATCTATGTCTAGCTTTTTCAGTATCTTAAATAGCTCATCATGTCTAACTTTATCGAACGCCTTCGAATAATCTATAAAGCATAATAAGTACAGATCTTTCTGTGCTTTAATACATCTTTCCATTAAAATTGTTAAGGTGAATTAGCATATCTGGTGCCATTGTCAGGAACAAAGGCGAATTGTGTTATAGATATCTTTGGTCTTATACTTTTTTTCAACCTTCACATTCGTATTCGCAGCAATAATTTTGTAAAATGACTCGTAAGGCTAATTGATCTATGCATATCACACTCAGTGGCACCTGGTGATTTTGGTAACGCTACAAAAAAAACTGACTTCATCCTATCTTCTGGGATCTCACCGCTGTCATAAATAGAATTTAAGAGCTTTGTTGTTATTTCCGTGCCTAGGTCTTCAAGAGCAACAATCACCTCAACAGGAATATTATCTGGCCCTGTGGCTTTTTATTGTTTCATTTTCTTAATGGCAGCTTGTACCTTTGCTTTTAGTGTTGGTGGTCCATTTATTTCATTTTTTATTACCGGTTTATGTTCTCTATTATTTTTTAACAGTTTTTCTATGTATTCTGATCATCTGTTTAAAACATCCCCATTGCTTATTAACATATTTCCTCCTTTTGATCTAATGCTTTCTGTGTTTGAGCATCCATTTATCCCACTTACTTCTCTGATTTTGGAAGGACGTATTTGCTGTCTTCATTTTGGTTCGCCTCTATTTGTTGACACCGATCATCTATCCATGTTTCTTTTGCTTCGTTGCACTTTTTCTTTAGTTCTCAGTTTAAGATGTTGTACTTTTCCACATTTGATTTTGCCTGTCTTCTCTCTTTCAATAGTTTCGATATGTCCCGAGTCATCCATTTTCTAATTTGCTCCTTTTGCTTTCGGGGGATATTTTCTTCTACAGTTTCTATTAGTGAGTCTTTCATTTTCCTCCATAATTCTTCCGATTTAGTCTTGTTTTCCAGAGCTTTAAATTTATTGCTTACACCTATGGAGAAACGTTCTTTTAGTGCTTGATTTGTCTTGAAAGATTTATATCAAATTTTGGTTGGTACCTTGACATTTTAAGTTTCTTCAGTCTCATCTGTATTTTACACATGACTGGTACATGGTCATTATCACAGTCTGCTCCTGGCAGTGATTTAGACGATTCAATTGTATTTCTAAAACGTTACTGAATAAGTATAAAGTCTATTTGATTTCTACTTCTATCGCCAGGACTCTTCCAAGTGTACCGTCTTCTTGGGGGATTTTCATACCAGGTGATTGAGATCATGAAGTTGTTTTCTCTGAACCATTCTATCAGTCGTCCCCCGCGTTCATTCTCTTCACCCAGTCCCCATGGCCCAACTATATCTTCTATACGTGTACTTCCTACTTTGGTATTAACGTCCCTCATGGCTACATTTACATCTTGTGATTTTAACTGTTTAATTGTCTTATCAAGGTCTTCATAAAATATCTCCATTTCCTCGTTGTCATGCTCTGATGTTGGTGTATATACATTATGTGGATGACACCTATGTAAAAAGGTTTTCTGTCTAATTTAGCCACGATGACTCTATCTGACACTCCCCAAAAAGCCTTTGATGCTCTTTGCTGTTGCTTTGTCAAATAAAATTCTGACTCCTCTTTCATGGTTGTTTTCACATGAATATGCAATTGTTTTGGATCCTCTTTTAATCAGGCCAGCCACCTCCCATCTTACTTCTGAAATGCTTAACATATTTAGCTTCATCCTATCCATTTTCTGTTCAATGTTATCTAATTTGCCGTTCTGGTACACTGTTCTCACATTCCATGTGGTTATGTTAAGTTGTTTTCTAGTTTTGCAGCCAGTAGCTGGATGACGATCGGGCGCCACCGGCTGCCCGTGGCGGTACCTACTGAGCGGGCAGTTCAGAGCTGGATCATGAAACCCCTTAACGCTGTTATCTAAGGAATGAATTTTGTTTTTCTTTTCCATGATTATTCTTTAGATATTACAGCAGTGGTTTCCCGTTGCCTACTGCGGGTTTGTGAACAGTTTTTCTGCTAACCTTTGTCATCCACTGACAACCACAAGGCAGTGCGGGCTCTGGTAGGATTTATGGGGCCTCCCGTCGCCAAGATGGTCCCGTCTTCAAGTGTGTGAGGTATTTATTGAAGCACCTGATTGCTTAGCAGCTAACCTCCATATCTGGAGACCTTTCCCTTATCCACCACCTGGGGACGCGCTGGGTTGGGTATGAGGATACAATACTAAATCTTAGTACTTCACAGGTTTACGTAAAAAATTTTGAGTTTCACAACATGTCAAGATTTTTCGAACGCAATTCCTTGAACATTAAATTATATTGATAGCGACTCCGAATAATCTTACAATTTTGATAGAGCAGATAGAATTTTGATTTCTTACCTCATGGTCTTAGTAACCCAAAGCGGCCAAGAATGTCAGATAGAACTTTGTAATTATAAGGTAGCGGACTCTTAGTACACGGAAGTCTCTTCCTTTTTTGTTTGCCACCAATTTTGTCATCCAAGCTTTTAGCATCACACACTTTCCAAATACCCGACTCTTTTTAAAAACCTATGTTCATAAAACAAAAGTAGAAATGAATTATTCGAGCTGTAAACAAACAGTCTAATTACAGACACGATGCATTTGCGGACGTCTGACAGATAAAAGCAACGTGGTGAAATCAGGAGCTCGTCAAAATAATGAAATCAAAGAAACTGGCATTTTTCTGTCCGTTTGGCAATTTTTGTCCATTTTAGTTTTTCGACTCAACACCTTTATGGTCCTCTTAAAAACACATCTCAGAGTGGATTTTACAGAAAAATGTTGATTAAAGGCACAACAAATGAAAATTTTCAGTTTCCAAAAACTCTTAAGCTTTGGAAATCACCAAGCTTTGTCAGCCATTTTCGCGCTAATTTTACCTCTGAAACCAGGTGACCCCGAACTCCTTCAACCGCAAGTATCTCGACTTCTATTCAAGATAGACGTGTATTTTTTTCATCAAAAGATGGTAAAATGAACATGCTTTAAGATGATACCGATAACTCCAGATGCCCCAAAATTGACGAGCGCCTGATTTCACGGCGCGGGGACAGAAAAAACCCATAAACAACTGAGCGTCGCTGTAAGCCCGATAAACTGGTAAGCCGAATACTTAGAGGGAAAGAAAACCAAAAAATCAACCCCCTCCAAAAAAAATCCAAGCAACAAACAACAAGAAACAACAACCCAAACAACCTGAAGCCAACCAACCAACCAACCAACCAACCGAACGACCGATAAAAACAAAACAAACAACAACAAAAAAACAAAAACAACAACAACAACAACAACAAACAAACAAACAAACAAAAAGAAACAAATAGATTAATTATAAACCATCAAGTATATGTATATAGTTAACAGCTCTTACATCACAAACAAAAACAACAAGAACAACAGTAGCAACAAACAAACAAACAAAAAGAAACAAATACATTAATTATAAAACCATCAAGTATGTGTATATAGTTAACAGCTCTTACATCAAAGTTGCCTGTTGTAACGAACTGGACATCGAAGAACTCGTAGAAGTGTTGGAAATTTTTCCCTCTTGCGTTTCCCATGACTTCGATTCTCACCGGGACTTCTCTGTACATGTCCTTGGTACTGGTCTTCCAGTTATACCTCCCGGCTGTCGGAGGTGAAGGTCTTGATTTGGTAAGTGCTTTTATTTTGGTAAGTGTTTTATGGCGCTCGCAACTGCTTAAAGTCATAATATGAACGCGCGGGACACATACAACATTTTACAGTTGGGTAGGAATCAATTTTGAATTTTGCTTGGGTGGCGGGCAAAGCCTTCTCTTATCGAAGGGATCTTTAACGTGCGCAACTTCCCCTCAGGACCTCCGACATTTTTCGCCCTTATCCGAGAAAGCTAGTTGTTAGACCCTACCTACCCAAGGATTAACAATAGGGAGGGTGCAGAAAGAGCCAGGAGCCCAGAAGAGGGGACGAAAAGGGGGAGGAGGTTGGCAAAAGTGGAGACGAAATCAGACAGCAGGACATGGTTAGAAAGCAGGAAAGGAGAACGTTTTAAAGAAGAATATTTTCTGTCACTGTCAGGTTTCGAATCCCCTAACCTAATAATAATAATCAGCAATAAATAGAATTTGTATAGGGCATGTCCCTGCTTGACAGCAAGCTCTATGCGTTCTACACTGTATTATTACCCCAGCTTGGGAAGCATACAGTGAAAGCGGCTGATTAAGCGCCCAAACACCAAAAGGCTGACAAGATCTTTCGCTGTCTCTAGCTGGGTACCTGTCTGACTGAAGTGAGGAAAATTAATGTAAAGTGCCCTTTCCATGCACATAACGTCGGGCTCCTGACGGGATTCGGACCCACGACCTTACGGTTCCGAGTCTGAGAGCCTAACCACTTGGCCACCGACGCCACATTGATTGAGAGGCGAACACCGTAACCCTTAGACCACGAGAACCCCCTGGTAAAGGTCCAGTTGTGAGCCCTTTTTCATCACTTTCAAAGTGATCCCCATCGTTCACCAAACAGCCAAAATTCCACTAATGGGCGATATCGCCAAGGTTAGAAGGCAGTACTGTTTTCTATTCATCACCATAACGCTCAGTATAGCTTGTTCACTTTCGTCTATGTTAAATCCTAGCTCATTTATTAATTTACTAATGGCCACGAAACTTTGTATGGCACTTCTGCAGGCCAGCGACAAAACAATAATAATGAAAAAAAAATAACGTTTTAACTACTGGATCAACATTTTTCAAATTTTGGCACTATATTAAAAACCGCTCCTTCAGGTGCATACACATGCTTACTAAAATTAATGACTAATAGTAACCTAACAACAAATTGCTCCTTTTGAGACAACGACTTCGCCTTGCCCCTACCTTTCAGTGAAAGCTGAAAGATTTCATTCCATGACTGTCTAGACGTCTCCACGTGAGTCTCATTGTCTCTTGGATCGTGTTTTTGTGGTGTTGGGGGGAAATAGGTCAACTTTCTAATTTTTAGATGAATGCTGTAAATCTCGTTTTATTTTATTTCTTTGGATCCGCATTATATAATATTAAAAAATGTGTCGGTGCCTTAGTTTTAGTGACTTTTCTGAATGGGCTTTTAGATTCTGTTGGTCATCCAACTTTTAAACCCGTGTGCAAAGATCTGCAAAGATTAAACATGACGATTTGATTGTATCTTGTTTTACTCGTGGTCATACGAACGTGAACAAGCCATATATTATTGATAGCGGGCGATATCGCCAAGGTTAGCAAACACTACTGTATTCTATTCAGCCCAGGTGGGTCAGGACAAAGTGTTCTGTTTGGTTTGATTCAGTAAGCATTTTACGGCACTTTAACACATTTAGGTCATGTAAGTGCAGAATAATACTGGTATTACAAAAGAGTAACTAACACAAAAAGGAATGAGGAGAGGTAAGGAAGACAGATTTTTGAAAGGAAAGAAGGACCAAACCACACGAGGGCACCCACCATTCACTCACAGACTGGGTGTACTCACATGTGTCCCAAATGATGTAAATCACGTCGATGAAAGGGCAAACGATGAATGACAAATCAATTCAAAGCCAAGAACTTAAAAATATAATAGTATTATTCTTTGTTTAGGTAGGTGTTTTACGGCGCTCGCAACTGCATTAGGTCATATGAGCGCGCTGGACACATTAAACATTTTTAGTTTTGTAAAAATTTAGGAACACCAATGGATATTTAACGTGCGCAACTTGCACACGGAAAGTCTAGGTGTTAGAGTTTACCTACTATAAGATAAGTGGTGTGGCAGACAGACAGCAGTGAGAAGGAGCCACAGAGTAGCAGCATAAAGGCTACAGAAAGAGTCAGGAGCTCAGAGGAGGGAGCAAAAGGGGTTGGGGGTTGGGTAGAAAATGGAGACGAAAGCAGATGATAGAACATAGGTAGAGAGCGGGAAAAAAGAGAGAAAGGAGACCATTTTAGAGCAGAAAATTTTATGTCGGAGTAAGGTTTCGAACCTCGGACCTATTGAATGAGAGGCAAACACTGAAACTTCTTGACAACGAGAGCCCCCATATCATATAAAGGAGAACCTATGTTGTTGCACTGACCAATGAAATAGTAGTCGAACATGAACTGGGTCTGTCCCTTGAAGGTGAAGCATTGTTTCCAGTGGTTCATTGGCACTCCGTCTATTGGTGCTGCTGTGGTCTGGTTTACCTGCGAATAAGTTAAGATAAGATAAGATAACATATGATAAGATAAGTTAACAGACAGACAATTAAAACAAAACAAAACAAAACAAAAAACCCAAGCAAACAAACGAATGAATGAATCAATGAATCAATCAAACAATCAATCAAACAACCAACCAACCAACCAATCAATCAATCAATCAATCAACTAATCAATCAATCAATCAATCAATCAATCAATCAATCAATCAATTGTGTACGGGTGAATGAATCAATGAATGAATGAGGGAATGAATAAATGAATCAATCAATACATACACACATTATACATAATATTTTACTTATTTTATTTATCCTCTTGGTGACGGATTGGTTACAATTGCGAACATACATACATAAACGCATGTTTAATAACACACATCAGATACAAATAATGCCAAATGCACAATATTACACCAGTGCAGACGATTTTGCAAATGCAGAATTGGAAATATTTCATTGACCACCCATTTACACGCCGTGTCAGCGAGGCTTGCTTGTCATTATTTGTGAGTCTGAATCACTAATCACTCAGCCGCTGGAAGAGGGAGAGGATGGCAGATAGTGTGTGTGTGTGTGTGTGTGTGTGTGTGTGTGTGTGTGTGTGTGTGTGTGTGTGTGTGTGTGTGTGTGTGTGTGTGTGTTGTATACGTGTGTTAATTTGATTCATACGTGTGTT